AAAAAATTGGCCTCATTTGAAGGATGTCGAAAAGAAACTCATTTTCGAAGGGGGCCTTTGCTCCTACCCGAACGGTGTCCGGAGAAGGAGGTCGATTTTTTGACGTCTTCAGATTGGCTTGAATTTTTGCATGTGAGTCAGTATGCCCACTCCCACACGGAATCCAATAAGTGAGCGTATTTCGAAACGAAGAGCACGTTGCTTCACGTCCGGTCAGTGTTTTACGTTTTCTGACCGAAAAAACTATAGAAAATTCTAAAAGTGGCAAAAAGCCACGAAACTTGTCATGCATCCTAGTCATGATGATAGAACATTAGAGAAAAAATTGGGCTCATTTGAAGGATGTCGAAAAAAACTCATTTTCGAACGGTAGTAGTTAATATAGAATTTTTTAAGTAATTATATTGAAAAGAGTACTTAATACAGAATTTTTTTCGTATTGACATTATACGTAAGAAAACTTTACTATTGTTAGTTCTACGCGAATTGATGAGCTAATATTAAAAAATAAGATAGTAATAATGTTAGTTGACTTTAGTTAAAGTTTTCTGACATTATTACTATCTTATTTAATTAATCACTCAAAGGCGGCTATATAAGCCAGTCCCGGCGTCCCTGGCGCACGAGGTGATACTAAAAAAGCGCCCCCTTCCACCTCCCCCCTCGCTGTGAAGCGTAGAAGGCAAAAAAAATAGTGATTAAAAAAATAAGCCCGCCTATGTGGGCCGCAACTGCGCCTAATCGGTCCGGCCCGATCAAGCCGGGTGGCGAAAGGGCCAGCCTTTCGGCCCAACTACGGCTGGCAGCACAGGCCAACCGGGGAGCGGCAGGACAGGGCGGGGATCAGAGGAGTTCGGTAAGGGCGGTAGGAGGTGGGCATATAAGGCGGTCGCGGCGTCGTTCGACGGGCGAGGTGGGACTAAACTTTAGTCCTCACCACCGCCGACACTGCGCCCGCACCACGCGCACACTCAATGGGCTGGCCCACGCACACCGTCGCGCAAAGTCACTGGGCCGGCCATCGCACGGCGTCGTTCGGCGGGCGAGGTGGGATTATTATTTTTATATATTTATTGTTTTAAAAATAATATTAAGTTGTTTAATAAATGTTCTATAATTAATGAAAATCCCTACGTAGTGTATAAATGTTCTATAATTTATGTAATGTTCATTATTTATTTGTATTAATGGCTACAATTATTTTCATAATAGTAAAGTGTATTTTGTTATAATTTATAATTAAAAATAATTTGGAAAATACAATTCTTAAAAAACACTACTTGATATGGAATTTATTAAGTAGTTATGTTAAAAACAATACTAAATATAGAATTTATTATGTAATTATATTAGAGAACTACTTAATATAGAACTAGTTAATATAAAAAACGTCAACCCAATGTTATTATTTACTTTATAAGTAAGAATAATAAGTTGTTTATTAAAAATTATAAGTACTAATAATCAATTATTTGAAAATAATTGATTATGACTTTTTCGTTATTGCCTAACATTTTTGAGTTTATTAAAAAATTATAATGAGATAGTTAAAAGCAGTACTTAAGGTAAAATGTACTGTAACCCCTGACCGACACCTTTTTGATGGTCAACATGGACGAAACGTA